TGCGTATAGTGTTGGTGCGGCGTGGTTATTGATAACAGCATTGATCGGCTATATATGTGTGTGCGTGTGCGTACGTGTGCGTGCGTATAGTGTTGGTGCAGCGTGGTTATTGATAACAGCATTGATCGGCTATATATGTGTGTGCGTGTGCGTACGTGTGCGTGCGTATAGTGTTGGTGCGGCGTGGTTATTGATAACAGCATTGATCGTCTATATATGTGTGTGCGTGTGCGTACGTGTGTGCGTGCGTGTGCGTGCGTATAGTGTTGGTGCGGCGTGGTTATTGATAACAGCATTGATCGTCTATATATGTGTGTGCGTGTGCGTGCGTGTGCGTGCGTATAGTGTTGGTGCGGCGTGGTTATTGATAACAGCATTGATCGTCTATATATGTGTGTGTGTGCGTGCGTGTGCGTGCGTATAGTGTTGGTGCGGCGTGGTTATTGATAACAGCATTGATCGGCTATATATGTGTATGCGTGTGCGTGCGTGTGCGTGCGTGTGCGTGCGTATAGTGTTGGTGCGGCGTGGTTATTGATAACAGCATTGATCGTTACGCAGGTGAGTGACGTCAACGACGATGTTCGACGCGCCGCTGTGGAATCTCTCGGCTTTCTGCTGTTCAGGTAAGTGATATTAGCACGTTTTTCCCCCGTGCACCTCGTTTGTGGAAATTGCTTTGCAACTGACACTGCAGCGAAGCGAGATGAGGCTTAGTACGTGCAGTGTGGTTTGTACGACTTTACCAAGCATCGGGGAAGAAATAGTACGACTAGCATCTCTTATGCTTCTGTGACACAGACAGCATATCCAGCTTTCTGTGACATCCAATTAGCAGGGATAAGTCCACTCGATAGTGGTGGTATCGTATGGCGCCAACATCACCCCGGCCACAGCCCCCACGGGCAATCCAGTTGCAAACGAGTTCGCCACATTCATTTATGGTGACCTGGTATCCTATTATTGTGGAGATGTGGACTCGGAAGGAGGTGTAAGCCTTGTCTGGGTGCCGGGTTTGGATCACTCTTAGTCTAACTCCTCTTCCTTGGCCGGTTCAGCATGGTTAGACCTTTGCTGACTTCGCCCTTGAAGTCATACAGGAATACGCAAGCCCGCACACGACAGCCACGTGGCGATCCAGGTCGTGGGGGTACGATTCTACGATATTCTCCTCGACGCAATTAGTTAACTCGATGTAATTAGATAATTAATACAATGATTAGTCTTGCGTGAGTAAGCACGGTATCGCTCTCTCGTCTTCGTTCGGCAGTGGCAGTGAGAGCAGGACGTTATTGCCCGTAGCAGCAGTAGACGTGGATACGTCAAGCACCTAGCTCTCTGTTTGCTACGAGTGGGAGGTACGGTTTGCTAGGTGGAGGATGTGTAAGCATTCTTTGCTGTTCAGATGGTGAGCGTGGGGTCGACAGCTGTTTAAGCGGTTGGGCGTGGGCGTTGTGTACTGCGTGTGCGTAGCCATCCTTGAGTGATTGCTAGTGTTTTTTTCTCCGGGCGTAGAGTGCCACGTATAAAACAAAATCGATGAAATGTAATACTCGAACGTGTCAGCTTAACGCGTGCATTTCCTCATATTATATTTATGTGGTCCATGCGCCTAGGCAAAATGCGCCTTTATTGTAGCGCCTACAATTGATCTGATAGTTTGATGTTGCTTCAGGCGGTGGAAGTTTATTTATTTATTTGTTATTTCTTGCTTCGTCGATGATTCGACGAGCTCTAGCCAATTTATGTGTGAGGTTGCCCGAGGTAATTCTAAATTGAGTTTCGTATAGGTGACGCTAATCTTCACATGGCATGCAATGGGCATTTCGAATCTGTGGATAAACGCGTTGAAAGCGATTGACTTTACTTTCGAGCGTTGAGTGAGCATACCCGCTAACATTCCTGAACTTCTGCAATGATGCGTATTTGGTTTCATTCCTACATTGGTGTATTTTGCGTCCTACTGTTGCATAACCCAATTGGAAATGTGTGGTGAAGTGTGTGGTACGGTCTGGAAACGTATGTACAACCGTACCATACGAGGAATAGTGGTGTTAACACTTCAATCCTAACTAAGGTTGAACTTCTTTGTTGTCTAACTGAAAACCAATTTTCACCTTTCTCAGCTCTGAAGCTGTAGGTTCATTCGAAGGTATGAGTTTGTATCGGATTGTTATTGACGCATTATATTTTGGTCAACATGCAACCGGACTAGAATAGCAGTGATCGATGTGCTTTGCGGGAGTAGAGAGTAGTAGAGGGGTTGAATGAAATAAGTTCATTGGATTTCGTTGAAAACTATGACTTCATATTTATCTTGTGTTAAATCTAAGAAATTAACTTACTATCGAAATTTTCGATCTTCCTTCGGGTAATCTTCATCAGGATGTGACGCCCACCGGGGGGCGTGGTTATTTTTCCTAGGTCAATCAAGAGCATAGGGCTCTAGTGAGCGCTGCCATTGGTCGATACAAATCACGTGCCTCAAACTCCTGTTTTATGGTGCATTCACTGCATTGTGACCCTAACCCTAACCCTAACCCAAACCCTATTTAAAAAAATATAAAAAAGTTGTAAAAATTAATTGTTGTTATTAAATTGTTGTAAATAAATCATGTAAATATTTGCATTAATTTGAAAAAAATTGTCAAACGGATAAAGATAGAAAAATACAGAAAACAGGAAAATAATTAAAAAACTAATGGGATTCGATCCAACGACCTTTCAGCCTTGAATTGCGTGCTGTACTCGCTCGGCTATCGAGCTATAGTGGAATTATGAATTTTGGATGTGCTATGAATATGATGACACTGTGACGTCACTGATCGACGAAACAAGCTCAACCAATAGCAGCGCTCACTAGAGCCCTATGTTCTTGATTGACCTAGGAAAAAAAATCACGCCACTGGCGGCAGGCCCCCTCGAGTGTAACCAGTGGCGCCCGCAGATAGAAGCACTGGAAGCACAGTGCTTCCAGTAAATTTTGGGTTAAACAATTTTGTTCCTACATTTTGTTCCTAAATCTCTCTCGCAAGACTCACCAGATTGCATCTCCAGACGTCTACCATTCAAAATTTTTTAGGGAGGGGGCATGCCCCCAGACCCCCCTAGCATGCAGCACGCCTAAGGCGCTTGCTCTATATTATCTACTATCCTATACTAAAGATTTTATCCTTCTGTGCTTCTACTTTCTTAAGACCTGTGGGCGCCAGTGAGTGTAACACGTCACGTACTTCATGATGTGACCTGCTGCCACCTACAGTGACGTCACATCCTGATGAAGATTTCGATCGAAAATTTCGATAATAAGTTAATTTCTTCGATTTAACACAAGATAAATATGAATTAGTAGAGGGGTTCATAGAGCAGCTTTGTCTAAATTGCGATATATATTCTTGTTCTATATGTCTTCATTTCACATCGAGTGTTCGCCCCACATCTCATGCTCTGCGTGGTTACTCTGTGATACTGTAATGCTATACGAGCATAGGCTTCTGCATTACACCATCTTAATGCAGAGAGAGCGAGAGAGAGAAGGGGGGAGAGGAGGGAGAGAGAGCA